TCTAATTAGCTGAATGACCTTGCACTCCAGTTCCCTGGATGTGAGGATAACTTCCAGAAGTTTCTGGTGCTAGAAAGAACCTCCCTTTCTCCTAGCCTCGCCCATTTCTCCCTTGCTTCTCAAGGGGGCTCAGAGCAGGTGTGCACAGGTATCTGCTTGGGTCCCTCACAGGCACGCAAGTGAGGGATGGCAAGGCCTTCATATAAGCAGTGAGTCCCCAGTAGAGGGGTGGGGATGACGAAGGTTCTCTCAGAGCACACAGGGTACCAGGGCGTGGGAAAGCTGAGGAGAGAAAGGAGATGAAGAGGAGCAACACGAGATGGAGGGATACAGACAGGGTACACCCAGGGGTGGCATGTCTGCCAGCAAGACTATACCTCACCACAGATCCACCACAGAGGCCTCAAGTGAAGGAGGGGAGAAGGGGGTAGCTGAGGAAGGCCACAGGAAGGCGAAGGCTACGGCCAGCGAGTGCTCCCAGATGCTATCTTACCTGCCAGGAGACCCAGGGCTCTAACAGTTACAAACACTTGGAGCTGCCTGACTGTTAGCCTGTCAGGACACTTGAGGTATAAGGGGCACTGTGACAGGTAGCCACTGTGTGTAGGAGGGGTGGCTGTGCCCAAGGCAAGAAGAGCTAACAGGGCACAGGGGGAAGGGTTAAGAAAAGGGACAAAGACATCATTCCCACAGCTGTCTTGGGACCCAGATGACCTCCTTAGCCTGCTGGTGCCCAGGACCACATGGGGCCACTTCCAAACAAGGCTGCCTGCTCTGAGCAGGCCCTGCAGCACAAAGGTTTACACTCAAGTGTACTTGGCTTTAGACCATTTCATTTTAATATCCTTAAGGAGAAGCACTATAAACACAAAGCCAAGGCCCTGGACACTTAGCGGGGTTGGGAGAGCTGTTAATACCAAGTTTGTCTATGGCTGCTCTGGGAAGCTGGCCAGGCTCAGGTTAGTGACATTCTCCAAGCCTGAATTGGGAATCTTCAGGCAAGCACGGGCCTCCCAGACTTCTAGGGCAGTTTTGTCTGCGTGAGGAATGCAGGACGGCACAGCGCAAAGGCACTAGCTCTAGCGTGGAGCCAGGAACACTTCAGGGCCAGCAGCATTGCGTGCTAGCAGACAAAGCCTTCAATGGCTATCCAGCAAGGAAGCAGGAGCAGGCAGAGGATGGAAAAATCCTCACTCGGGAATTTATGCTTTTTAATGACTATTGTTTTGCTTTTTCTCCAAAAACAAACAAACAAACAAACAAACAAACCCAAGCCAAAAGTCTATGTTAGGTAAAGACAGGTTTCAACATAAAACAGCAAAGGCCAGATCGCCCCTTGAAACTCTGAAAGACAGGCAGGTTTGCTTCTGGGGGATCTTGGGACTAGAAGTGACTGTAGTCCTGGTCAGAAAGCCCTGCGTGGGTGAGAGCAGGGGCAGGGGTGGGGTAGGGTGGGGACAATATCTCCCAGACTCCCCAGTAGTGCTCTGTCCTTTCCCCTGCAGGGGGCAGTAGAGGCCTAGACAGATCTCAGTCCTGCCTGGGCCTCTCACAGGCTTGCCCTGATGGCTTCCTCCATGTAAAGAGACAGCAGAGAGAAGGTAGGGAAGATGGGGGGATGTGCTTGCTTGGTCTCCAGCTGTACTCCCTGCCTGAGCGGTTGTCTCCTGTTTCTGCCTCCAGAGGGAAGGTGGATCCCTGGGCCCCAGTCAGGCTGCTCCTGCACTGTCTCCCCCCCACCCCCCACCCCCCAAAGCACTTGTAGGTACAAGCTGGGACACATGCTGGCCAGGCCAGCTTCCTTTCCAGACTTGCCTTCACCTGCCACTGAGGGAGCAAGGACTCTGATGACAGGTGGGTTCGATGGCTAGGATAACTGGGAGGCTTCTCCACACGGGGACTTATTTCTGATTTGCTTGGGCCATGGGGGTGAGGGTTTGTTTGCTTTGCACGGCTGTTCTGGGGTTCACACTGCAACTGGACAACTGGCATGGCCCATCTTTCTACCCTATGGGCTTCTCAGACACCATCCTCACATAGAATGTCCCTACCTTAAGGCTTCAGTAGTTACATTAAAATTCCCATCAAACTACCAGTATTTTTACCAAGGTGAGAATCGTCCTCTGATTGGCAGGTGCTGAATCTGAGAGGGGCCTATCAGAGAGCAGCCCTCAGGCTCATATGGATTCTGCTCTTTTAGTATAGAGCAATGAGAAGAGAGAGGGAGGAGAGAGGGAGGGGGAGAGTCAGAGAGAGAGAGAGAAAGAGAGAGAGAGAGAGAGAGAGAGAGAGAGAGAATATCAGAGATATAGAGAAGCTTCTCTAGATTGATACAACATTCTGGTAGGAAGAACTGGCTGTGGTGTCTCCATAAAACTGGAGGTCATGTCCTGCTTCTGCAGATTGCTAAAGGTATTGAGAACCCACACACAAGTGTCACTGCTGTTGTAGCTGTCATTGCTATTCCCCAAGACATCTGCTACCTGTTCTCAAGTCACCCTTTCCTTCCTAGTCTCCAGCTCCAGCCTTTGCACCCCTCCTGCACCTCAGTTCTGACCAGGACAGGAGCTCTTTGGCTGCCAGTCAGGAGACGCTTGACACAGGCTATGCGGTTGTGGGACTGAAGGTGGAGCTGAGAACTTGTGCAGGCTGTGGGGAGCCTGGCCCTTCCAAACCCTTGTCTTTGCTCTCGTTCATCCAAGGTCCCATGTCTGCTCCTCACTCCACAGACTCTCGCACAGGGAAAAGGGGGAAGGTGCAGGGCCGGACCTTCTATATAAACCAGATGATAAAGAGCATCTGGAGATGACTCTCTGGGCTAAGACCTGATCACACTCATTGGCTTAGAAAAATCAAATTTCCTATTGCCTCAGAATCTTCACCTAAAACTGGAATGCAGTAAGGCAGGGCCAGTGTGCCCTATGCAGGTGTGAGTCAGTTAGCACTCACACTCTCTGTATACTGCAGGCATTACTATCACTCCCATTTTGTAGGAAAGGCAAACCCAGTGTACTTATCCTAGAAAACTATATATACATAGATGTGTGTGGGTAATTATCTATCTATCTATCTATCTATCTATCTATCTATCTATCTACACACACACACACACACACACACACACACACACACACACACACACACATTGGGACAGAGTTTTACTCTGTAGCCAGATTGGCTTCAAGCTCAGTCAGGGCAGTCCTGCCTCAGCCTCCCAAGTACTAGGGTAATAGATGTGAACCACCAGGAGTCCAGATCTCTAGCTTCTGGCAGAGTGCACTTTTATCAGATGGTAGGGAGAGCTGGCTGTGGTGTCTCTGTGAAACTGGAGGTCACATCCTGCTTCTGTAGATTGTTAGTGTTATCGACAGCAATTTGGGGCAACCCCAGAACCTACACACAATTGTCACTGCTGTTGTAGCTGTCACTGCTATTACCCGAGACATCTGTTCCTCTCTGTCTTCCTTTGTCTCTTGCTCATCACTCTATACCAAATGACAAAGTCCAGATGGGCCCAGGGGCTGATCTTTGCTAGGCCCCTCTCAGGACTTACCAATCAGAGGACACCTGAAACACCTAGCATCTTGGTGACATTAGTGGTGATTCGATGGGAAATTGAGCCACCAAAGTCTTTAGATGAGGACATGACATGTCTCTGTGGTTCCTAGGTTAAGACAGCTGAAAGGTTCTGAGCCTTTAAAAATGGGCAGAGGAAGAAAACAGTCTCCTCTGAGAAAGTACCCAAGCAATGGAAGAAGCAAAGGCCAGAACCAGTCCTTCTGCCTGGAGGCTATACTGATTCCAAGCCCCACCCAGCACACAGTGAACTTGCTTGTTGACTGTATGAACTGAATGATGGCCAACAGAAATTATGCATGGAGACAGTTTTGTTCCAAAGCTGAGAGTTTGTGTGTATGTAAGTACTATGATACCCTAAATGTAAAAGTGGTTAAGATGAAAAATTCAATATATATATATATATGGTGATATATATGTATCACCATAATAAAGATTGAGAAAGATTGAAAGATCAAACAGAATAAGAGAAGCTCCTGAACCCCCAATTTCTGAAGCTGCTGCTCTTCCTGTCCTGTAATGAAGAGGAAAACTTCCTTTTAGAATCTCCAGGCTCCCTAGACCAGAGCTGTCCTTACACTAATCTCAACTCTAAACGTGTTTGAGTTAGTCACTGTCATCCAGCAACTGAAGATTTCACATGAAGATCCCAACAATATAAGCTGCCTGTCACGTGGGACCATGTTGTTAGAGTAACACAGTGGATACCAGCTTCTCTAGTTTGTCCACAACAAAATCACTAGAGTGTGGGTTTCCTGTCACACACAGGATGCCAGGATGTCAGAGTGGAGAAGCCCCAATCTCAAACTCTAACTATCCTGCTAAGAATAGGAGATGCATATTGAGTGACGGCCTCTTCTTGAAATCCTGACACTGAACGTACATACACGTTCACCCTGCTGAGCAAGGCTGGAGTTCGGAGCTGTTGAACACCTCCGTAGCACAATAGTTGCCTGGGAAAGCAGAGATGTCCCTGTTGGCTGTGCATGAGTCCCCCATGATTCATAGGGGAGTTCTGGATGAAGAGTGGAGGGGAAAGGGATGGAGGGCAGAGAGAGGAAAGCTCAGGGAGGCTGCACAGCCGCTGAGCTTCAGAGCTCCAGCCCATGTCTCACCCACCCTTGACACATGCCAAGCTGCTTGTGTGTGTGTGTCCATGTCACAGTCTCACCCACCCGTGATACATGCCAAGCTGTGTGTGTGTGTGTGTGTATGTGTGTGCATGTGTGAGTGTGTGTGCCTGTGTGTGTTGGGGGGTGTATGTGTGTGCATGTGTGAGTGTGAGTGTGTGTGTGTGTGCCTGTGTGTGTTGGGGGGTGTATGTGTGTGCATGTGTGAGTGTGTGTGTGTGTGTGTGTGCGTGTGTGTGTGTGTGTGCCTGTGTGTGTATGTATGTGTGTGTGTTGGGGGGGGTCTCTGCTCACCACGGTGGTCATGCATCCCAGAAGCAGCGGCAGCCCGGGCAATAAAGTGTGCAGAGTCTGCAGCCTCCTCTGGGGAGGGGTCTTTGCTCAGGATGATGAGGTGTGCCTGTCACCAGAGAGAAGAAACACGTTGTTTACATGCTTGGCAGCAGCCACAGGAAACCTTCCTCGTGGGTGATAAGCAGGAAGCCAAGGAACTCTCCAGCAAGCCTGGAGGCATGATTGATGAGGAAGTACAATTTCTCTTGGGAACTTGAGAAGCACTGGGTGGAGGCCACAGCCCTAGATGCTGAATCCACTGGGCTAGAGACTGTCGCTGGAGCCTACCCTTGAAATAAATCCTTTAAAAGCTTATGGGCATTTGAGCCAGCAAAGACTAGGGGATGGTGGCTGGGGTGGGGGAGGGGAGGTTTTAAGAAGTGCAAAGTATCACAGAGTTGCCAAGGGAGCAGGCAAGCCCAGCTCCTGGCCTACTGCTCAGCCAGTGTATCTTGCTCGCAGAGAGGAAGCCTGCTGTCTGATCACCCGGACCACCCCCCTCAGCCGCTGTGGCATGGGAGCTGCTCAGTTTCTTCATAATAAAGTTCATTAAAAACTGTATTCTATAAACAAAATAATAAAAATCTCTTCAAAGAAAATATAAACTAGAACCCTTCAAAGAAAACGTTACTGATCATCGCCCTGTCAGCATTTTAAGTTGGCGCTGGAGCTCAGCGGTGAAGAGCACACGTTGTTCCTGCAGAGAACCCAAGTTCCTGGCACTGACACCAGGGAGCCCACAACTGCCTGTAACTCCAGCTCTGGTGATCTGATGCACATACACCCTTGTGTAGGAGGGAGGGGAGGAGTCTGTTCTCATCTTCTGAGTTCTTTACACACACACACACACACACACACACACACACACACACATACACACACACACACAAATAATTAAAATTAAAAAAATACTGTGAATAGTATGTTAACATCCCTTCAGCCATCAAAGCACGCCTACAGCAGAGTGCATGGCCAAGCCGTGCACAGCCATGGGAAACCGGGCTCAGCCATGGGAAACCAGGCTAGGTGTGGTGAACTGAGATGCTACGTTCACTCATGATGGTGTGCAGTGTGGGATTATTGCCAGAGAGTGTGTATTCCTTACTTGTCTTACTGTTCTGACAAAATACCTGATGGAGACAGCTTATTTTAGCTCACATTTTAGCAGGGTACAGTCCCTCATGGTGGGAACGTGGTTTCTGGGTGCGAAGGGCGTGAGGTCCCTGATGGTATGAAGATGTGGTGACCGGGTGTGAGGCCTTCGGTCACAGTGTTTTCAGTTATGAAAAAGGAGGGTGCTGGCGCTCCTCAGGCTTTCTCCATTCCCTTTCTCTCCTATCTGGACCCTCGTGTGTGGGAGGGAGCCAACCGCACTCAGGCAAAGCCATGTCCAAGGGTGTATCTGTTCGGTACTTCTAAATCCAACCAAGTGGACAACGAGGATAAAACCTCACAGGAGCAGGCAGACTGTGCCCAGAGTCACTAAGTCTCAAGCTGTACTTTAGTTCTTTTTCACCTGTAATGTAACACTTCATTTTGAGGATACTTTCTATGACCTTCAATTTCTATGTGAAAACTGGGAGTGCTGAATGGGCCTGGAATGTTCCCCAGAGGTACATGTGCTAATGTGCTTGGTGCTCCTGATGGGTGGTGAGGTTTTAGGTCACTAGAAGCCTGCTCTGAGAGGGAACCATGGGACTCCTGGCTCTTCCTCTTTCTGCTTTTTTTTTTTCTGGTCACCATAAACTGAGTGACATGAACTTCAACCTTCAAAATAGTGACCCAAACATACCTCTCCTCTTTTTCAAATGGAGAGTCTCAAATATGTGTTACGATGATGGGCAGATGGTTCAGGTACGTCACAGTAAAGGATGGAGGTCTGCTCCAACTTTGATCTGTTGTACCATGTCCAAGATGCTGCTCTTCATCTGTCAGTGATGGTGTAAAACCAGCCCAACTGATGCCAGCACACTGCAGGGGCCAGGACTTAAGAAAGGGCACCAGAGCTGGGTGGTGGGGATGTACACTTTTAATCCTGGCACTTGGTGGCAGAGGCAGGCGGATCTCTGTGAGTTTGATGCCAGCCTGATCTACATAGTGAATTCCAGGACAGCCAGGGCTACACAGAGAAACCCTGCCTCAAAAAACAAAACAAACAACAAACAAAAAAGAAAAAAGAAAGAAATGATGGCATCCCAGGAAGGCCTTCTAGTTCGTGCCAAGCAGGACCCGCTGCTCTGAATGTGTCTCTGAGGTTATAATCAAGGCAGGGGTGGTGCTGCAGCTCTATACTGGGCCTTATGTTGACATCCAAGCTGCCAGCACAAGGCTTTCTGCAGTCAGGGAAAAGCTCAGATTTGACCTCCTGGGCCACCACAGCTAGGGATGGCTCTTGCTGATGTGTTGGAACACCCAGAAATCTTAAGTGGGAAGGCTAGGATTTAAAACAACTTTTCTGACTACTGGAGATCTTCATAAAGAACTTAACAGGGAGCTGGGGAAGCCCAAGTAGTCACTACCTTCGATTTGGCACAAGAAAGCCCACTCTCGGACTCTCATTTGAGATATTACTGAAATAATAGGTATTTCAAAATACATGGTTTTTCAGACTACAAGAGCCAAAGGTGGAGTCAAGCTATGGAGTGTTCAGTGTCTGCAGGGAGAAAAGAAAGAGTAAAAAGGACCCTGAGAAGACTGTACAAGGTCAGACTGTGAGTATCACCCATGGCCATCTACCCACTCGACCCACTGCTGGAGAGCCCGCTGCAGGATGCTCAGGAAGGCTTTCCTTTACAAAGATTCAACACAACACACCAACATGTGCTGGTTCTGACTGAATAATACTCAATTTTAAAGATTTTCTGTTTCTTTTTCTATTTGCTGTCACAATTCAGAGAAAGGTAATACATCTGCCTATCACAATTATTTTCAAATGAATAATTGCATGTTCTGAAAAGATCAGAAGTTGTTTTTTTTTTTTTGACTTTTTCTTTCCAGTAGCAAAACAACAAAACGCCCACTTACAGTATCAAGAAAATAGGTCCCCAAGGCTTAGCATGGTGGTTCTCAGTCTTCCTGATGCTGCAACCCTTTACCACAGCTCTTCCTCTTACAGTGACTCCCATAAAAATTATTTTCACTGTACTTCATAACTGTAATTTTGCTACTGTTATGAATCGTAATGTGAATATCTGATTTGTGTGATATTGTGAGGACAGGACCAAGGATGGGGGTGAGAGGCAGGCGATGGAGTCACGTGACAAGTCCTGGGAATAATTAGACTTCAGAGACCAGCACCAGGGTGCAGGTCTGAGTTTATTGCCCAGCACGTCAGCTTATATACAGTGAGCCGATCCCAAGACCATAAAGCCTTGGCTAGTTGTGTCTTGACATACTGTCACCATGCCCCAGTGAAATCCCTGCCTGATGAGGTTACTCAGAAGGAACAGGGAGTGGGGGGAGGGGAATATTGTCACTTGTTAAGGACTTCCTTGGAAGCTGGGGTAGCTGCCCTGGTCTCGGCTCCTTTTTGCTCTCTCATTGGTGTCCCGGGAGCCATCTTAGATCTAATGTCACATATGGGAGGTCAGGACTCTTTGAGGAGTCGCAGGAGCCTATGGTGCCTTGCTCTCCCTCCCACTTTTTTCTTCACAAGGTTGACTTCCTCATCCCCGACATGATATCTGAAAATGCTACCTAACAGGTAGAGAACCACTGGCTTAGGGGGTTCTGAATTTATCACACAATTACCCTGACTTCCATACTTTCCTATGTAAGATGCTAACACCACACGAGCAAACATGGATTGTTTGCTTCAGAAACTGAGTTTCTGATCTAATTTATTATTTCGTGTTTAAGAAGCTTCCTCAAACCTCATGCTGAAGGGTGGGAGGAGTAGTGCAGCACACTCAGGGTGTTTAAAATGTATCAAGTTAGCATCTCATTTATTCAGTAAAATCCCATTCATTTCGGCTTAGTTTAATTTATTCCTATTTGGCTCAGTGTTGTTTTAATTTTGAAGCTCTTTCCACTTGTCAGATATTGTGCTAACACTACGAGTTCATATGCAAAAATATCAAGTTGGTTTCGGTTTTAAAAGAGATTACAGATGAGCCATAAAATGTGGGGTGGTTAGATTTGTGGAGACATACGGACACTTCTTACTATGTTTTTGCACTTGGCCAACTTCCTCCCTGCATTTCAACTGCTTTGATTTTTAGTGGATATTGAAGGAAGCAAAAGGATCGAATATGTATTCAGGGTAGCCAATAGAATGGTCCCGTGTACTGATGTCCAGCCTCAAGGCTAAGGAGGGCATCTCTGTCTCAGGACGCAAACGGCAAGAGTGGGAGAGGAAGGTACGGCAGTTTTCAGTCACCCCAGTGACCCATAGGGAGGATCCAGGGGAGACCCCCTCTTTACTCTCCTTCAGAGGCCAAGCTGTCAGTCAGAGAACTCTTAGATCCTGTCCTGCCTCAGCCTCCTGTGTGCAAAGCCAGACTAAGCAGCACAGAGGACACAGGATGAAGTGGAAGGAGCATCTTGAAGCAACACATGGCCCAACTCACATTGTACCTCCCCGGCTTTTAACAGCCTCAGTTTCCTCTCTATGCTCGGCTGCCCAGGGTTCTGTTTGCCCCCCTGATGTCAGGATCAGTTACTCAGTGCTACCTGTGGATCCTCCCTCCAGCTCACAGGTTCGGGAGCTGTGGCTCCGGATCATCTAGTCAGCGTCTCGTGCTCTGCTCAACTGTCCCTGTGTGCCCTCTCATATGCCCCCTTCTCTTCAGAGTACAGCGTCCACTGTCTACCAAAAAGCCTTCGGGTCCACACAAGCGCCATTCGGAGATGGTGAAAATGGGGTCCATCTAAGAATCCATTAGGAGGACAGCAAAGGTATTAATACCTTTGTCTCTGCGGACATGCATTAACCTGGTTACATTTCAGAAACACAGGAAAGGTGACTTGCAAAGGGATGAAGACACCATAGCACCAGGGATTTTCAACCCTTTTTTTCTTCAAGGACCTCTTCTCATCCCAAACAAAACCATCCATTGTTCTGTGGCA